TTGGCAGTTCTTCGGCCACATATTCGAATCATGCGTGAGATCGTACACATCCAGGCTGGGCAGTGCGGTAACCAAATAGGTTCCAAGGTATGTTTATACTGATTCGACTAAATGACCGACTGTTAATTCTGTTTATGTAAAGCGTTGATCTCTGGCTTGGTACAACGAAACCGGGTTATCGAAAGCCTGATATACTGAAGTAGACTTTTCCTATTTAAGAGTTTTGTGCTGTGATAACTGCGTAGTGTTTCCAGTCACATGCTATGTGCTTCCATTTCTGAAGCTGCAAACACTTTAATCGACTTTCGTTAGTTACATTAAATTTCACGTTTTATATATTTTGCTCATAGAAACAAGGCAGGCCAAGATTAGGTTTGCCCATTTGTCCCATGAATCTATCTCGGAAAATAATTCAGCTTTTATTCGATAACAAGTCCACTGGTTTTTGCCTATTGAAATTATATTTACATGTTTGATTTAGCAAAGGAAGTATATAGGTCGACATGGTTTGCTGCAAAATTACTTTCAGTTGTAATGACTTAGCTGTACTCATAATGCAAGTTCGATCAACAACAGACCTTAGAGCTTCTGAACGTTTATTTGCACTGGTTAAGGCAGCAACAACATTTATGCTGAGCCAATAAAAGCCAAACGGCGAGTCCCAGGAAGTAACTGAGAAAAGGCAGACGAACTCGCTGTGACAGAAATTTCATTCGCAATCCGTAGCGGATCTACAATCAAAGACAATACCAGGAACCAGTTTCCTTTATTTTCTCTGAGAATGGATCCATGACGGATTGCGAAACCTCGGGCGAGTAAAATTCTAGTGATCACATCTACTTCTCCTAACTCAGGATGAAGTTGTCGGTTTCGTTTCGAAATGCACAGAATATTCTGATAGTAGCGTAAGTTTTACCGTCCCCCAAGTTCCACATGTTGGCATCAATTAACCAACCCTTTCTTGTTCAAATCGGATGAGGCAATTAAACATAGTTTAAGCGGTTTATACGAAACCGCATTTGCCGACTAAATTATTGGTTGATGTTATTTTGATTTTTTTGTAGTTCTGGGAGGTAATCTCCGATGAACATGGAG